CTCGGCAGCGCCAGCCTCTTTGTGGATGTGGTGTAGCCGGGGCACTCGTGTGCCTGCCAGGTGCACGCTTGTGTGGAGAACGAGCAAGAACGAGCTCGCCTCCATGTCCATGGGTGGCCTTCAGCAAGCAGCCTTCTCTGCCAAGCTTTGCAGGTTGCATGACAGCTTCTGATCTCCTGTAGGAAATATGACGGTTATTTTGCTTCTCGGATGCCTGTGTCTTTGCTAGTGATGTAGCTTTAAATACCAAAGTTCATTTTTTCACAGAGACCAGTAAAAGAAGCAAAAAAACATGGAGGTATGCTTGTTGATTGTCTTGCTTGAACCTTGTGTTCCTGTATGATGTTCTAGCTAAAACTTGTCTTTGCTGGCTCAGAAGGTTAATGTCTTCAATGCAAAATCATAGGCCTGAGGTAGCTGTAACTTACTAGGTTGTAAGTGTCCAGGTTTGTTCTTTCCAACCAGGATAAGTACAGCAGCATGCAGTGGAGTGATACAGTCTAAGTTTAGGAACCAGCCTTAACTTCACAACTTTTCAGATTTCTTGCAGGAGATTAATATGAAACATCAGATGTGCAAAGACATCCAACTGTCCTCCAGTGGGAACAGTAGGTTTTTAACCTTGTTAGAAAATAAGGAACTTCTCTTTCAACTCTGACTCTTTTATAGAAGAGAAGTGAAAGGATCCCTTTCTTAAAGAGGTTTCTGTAGAAAGCACACAGTGGTTCTGAGTATTCTTGCCAGAGAGCTGCTGCTGTAGGAAACTGATGGAAAATCTATTCTGTTTCCATGAGCCTTGACAGGTCAGAATGTATATGGGAATTTATTTGACTGACAATGAGGTCAAGGTTTTGCCAATTCGGAGGGGTTGGATTTTGGGTTGATTTCCTGTCATAGGATCCTGTGGATCAGCTATTTCACAATGAAAGCTGAAACGAGATGTGTTGAAGTACAGTGCTCTTAAATAAGAGCAGTTGTAACTACATGTCACCAGTCTGGACCTTGCTATGCTATGGTATTGTGAAAAATAGAGATCATTATTTTTGCTAGAGGTTTGCTAGTATTTCCATTTGTATATTTTATTTTTCAGAAAAGCCTTGGACTCGAATTTACCCTGGTCCTCAGTGTTTATTTGATATTTTTAAGGCAAATGAGTTTGCTCTGCCTGTGCTTTGAGTTTACTGACCAGGAGTCCATTTCTCACAAGAAACTAAGCAAGTACTGCATTGACAATATCGTACTGCAGAATAACTTGCTGAGGAAGCATTGCACTTCTGCAGCGTGTTTTCCACATGGTGGAAACTGGGTGAGCTTGTATTTGCTTGGAATGTACCATGGAGGTGCAGCTTAAGAGGACACTGAAAGCAGGATTCTTGTAGTTGTGTCCAGATGTTACTACATAGTCCCTTGTTCCCTTGCTTTCATCCTGAAAACATGGAGTAAAGGGAAAGTCTTTGAGGATGCAATAAAAATCAAGTGCTGGTTTGTGGAGACATTTTCAAGTGGTACCTTCCAAGCCTCCTTCCCTTCCCTTCCCTTCCCTTCCCTTCCCTTCCCTTCCCTTCCCTTCCCTTCCCTTCCCTTCCCTTCCCTTCCCTTCCCTTCCCTTCCCTTCCCTTCCCTTCCCTTCCCTTCCCTTCCCTTCCCTTCCCTCTTTCTTGCTGTTGTGCTCTGTCAAGAAGCAGCTAGCATAGCACTGCTACCCCTACCATGTTCTCCGGGGTATATTCCAGATAGGGCATCCCACATTTGTTCTGCACTGTTTGTATTCCCTTATCAAAAACAACTGGTGATAACTTTGCTATTGTTAATAACAAGCACAATTTACTGTATTATCGAAGTTTAAATAAGATAGAGATGTCTCTGGAGTGTGGCTAAAATAAACATAGCTTATGAGAAACTTTGTAAAACCTTCCTCAGTGGATGCAGCTGCTTGGATAGAAAATGCTGAGGAGATTGTTACAGATGAGTTCCAAACATAGGTATCAATAGATTCATTAAAAAGGAAAAAATATAATTAATATGTGCTGAAGCAGAGATAAACAGATTAAGTTTAACTGTGATGCTACAACCCAAAAGCTGTATTGTCTTAATCCTGGTCACGACTAGATAACATACGGATGATCGTCTTAGCAAGACCTTGCTAAAATTCGTTTGGTGTTTGTATGAATGGATGATGCCACAGACCTTTTCTGGTTAGGGTGACAAGCCAAGACAATCCCATCCTATGTGCTGCTGGGCCCGACAAATTATCTCCCTTGTCTTGGAGGGGCAGTTTTCCTCAGGCAGAAGAACACAGAGTGATATGCTACATAATGGCTACTAATAGTTGCTCTGGAGAAAATAATTCAGTCCATAATGCAGGCCAGTGCAGCTGGCTCAGCTGCCTTCTGTCAGGGAGAGATGAGACTCACATTCTGACCAGGATTTGTGGCTCTGCGTGGCTTCACCAGAGGGGCTGGTGAGGTCCGTAGGTGCAGGTCCTAGATGAGGCTGAGGGAGATGTATTTCATTTGTTGGTATGGTGCAGAGTGAAAGTTGTGATGTGAGGTCTGTTCCTGCAGGCTGACTGCCTTCTGTGTTCTTGTTTGCAGGTTGCCTCTCTCTCCTGGTGACAGTGCAGGATGTTGAACGTTACACCACCTTATTTGCCACTGTTATCCTCAAGTGCGACTATAGCACCTCAGCTCAGCTGCAGGACGTGCTGGTGACCTGGCGCTTCAAATCCTTCTGCAAAGACCCCATCTTTGACTACTATTCAGCCTGTAAGTGTCAGGCTTGTCTTTCAAGGAATACCTTTTCAAACGGGAAGGAAGGGGAAGGTAGACTTACTGGGTAATACAGGCTTTTCACCTCTTCCTGCCCACATACCAGGTCAGGTGATGGTATTTCACTGTGCTCCAAAGAAAAATACGGCATGTCGGTGATTTCCAGCCAGAGCAGTTCATTTGTCCTCCTTGGCATCAACTCAAAAAGCAGAGAGGCTCAGCCATGTTTGACACATGTAATCCTGGCAGCCCTCTCTTACACTTCAATGTGTTTGAAAGCAAGGACCCTGCAACAAGTGGACTTTACAATTCCGTGGGGGACCACATGGTTGGAGCTAAATACTTGTGACCAGGTGTTACTGATTTTAGTAGATGAAACACTTGCATTTTGGAGGGCAGAAAAACTTCTAAGTCATAACATTTAATACTGGTGGCACTGTGTGTGCAGCCTTAATTCAGGAGTGTTTAAGATGGTTCTTAAGATGCAAACTGCATCCTGGGGTGTATCAAACACAGTATAACCAGCCAGTCAAAATAGGTGATGATCCCACTGTATTTAGTGTTAGGGTGACCTCACCTTGAGTGTTGTGTGCAGTTCTGGGCTCCACAATTTAAGAAAGATGCTAAGGTACTTGAATGAGTCCAGAGGAGGGCAACAAAGCTGGTGAAAGGGCTGGAAGGAATGTCCTATGAGGAGTATCTCCTCTGCAACTCCTGCATTCTCAAAATCTCTGCCACTCCTGTAGCTTTACCTCTGTTTGCTTTTGAGTACTCCAAAGCAACTTATCCTTGCTGGTTTGAAGCCATGCATTGTATTACTAAACCAAAGCAAATGCACATGCATTCAGGACTCTCTCTGCTGCTCACAAGGGGATAGAAATTGGTCCTTTGAAATAACTTCTGGCATCTCATGTGATGATACGTGTTTGTAGCATACCAGGCTGGTTTAGCTCTTGGCCAGGACCCATCTGACAGCTGCAATGACAGCCAGCGAAAGGTGCGCCTTGTCATCCAGAGATATGGGCAGAAGGAGCCTGTGCTGGGTGTCGACTACCGGCAACGAAAGATCACCATTCAGAACCGTAAGTGACTTTACCTCAAAGGCAGGCAGGGAGCTCAGTAACCATCCAGTATCTGGGCCTACTAAGTGAAGAGAAGCATAAACATAGCATATGTCATCTGTAGCTTACATATTCTTTGAGGTGGCAATGGAATAAGAGCTTTGAAAGGCCCTGTCCCCAGCTAGCCTGAGGGTGTTGGAGGCACTACAAGCTAAGGATGAGCTGAGGATGCCTGAGCGTTATGCTGAAGAGCACAAAAGTAAGCTGAGGAGCCCAGAGGCTGAAAACCAGTTCTTCTGACGAGTACTGCATGATTGTCCAGGTGTATTATGTGCTACCTGCTGTTCCTGGAGCAATAGCTGTTACTCATTCCAGAAGAGTGATTGGGATGGCTGGCCTAACGGGGACATTGATCAGTGTTCCAAAGCCAGTAGAGTTGTCATTTAGCAGCAACAAGTATCTGTTAACATCTATGACCCAGCAGCCTGCTGGTTATTTCACTCCACACAGAACTAGTCCTGCTTCTAAGTAGCGTTACCTTCCAGCAAAACAAAGAAAAAAGGGACTGGCAGTCAATGCTACGTACAGGAGTTCTCAATGGACTCAAATGGGATTGTTTGAAGGTGATGGCTATGCTTGAGAAGAGGGGAGATGCAGTACAAGCAGAGGGCCCTCTGAGACTGAGGCCTGAAAGTAGTGTCTGTCAGTCTCAAATAGCCTGCTGACCTCTCAGTCCCTCTCTCACAGGGGCAGACCTTGTCATCAGTGAGGTCATGTGGTGGGATCACGGCATGTACTACTGCACTGTGGAAGCACCGGGAGATACCTCAGGGGATACGGACAAAGAAGTTAAGCTGATTGTTCTCCGTAAGTGCCTCTAAGATGTCTCTAGGAGTGGAGAGGTGCTTAGTAACGTGCTGTACCCAGGTATATCAGGATCCTCATTCTCTCTCTGTTCTTCCCGTAGACTGGCTCACAGTACTCCTCATCATTCTTGGTGGCCTCCTCCTCCTTCTGCTGATTGGAGTATGCTGGTGCCAGTGCTGTCCCCAGTATTGCTGCTGCCACATCCCATGTGTCTGCTGCCCAACCCGGTGCTGCTGTAATGAGGAAGGTGAGGTCCAAGCGAATGCACATCCATTGACAGCTTCTGTCAAGACAAAAGTTTGACGGGGTGCTTGCTGAGCTCTGCTTTCTCTCTCCAGTTCAGTCTCCATGTAGACCGTCATTTCTTTATCCAGTGTGACCTCTGTAACCAGCTTACCTTAGTTTAGAGGAGGGGAGCTAGGATACATGGAGCCCATCTTGCTCCTCTGTGTTCTGCTTTCAGAAGTTCCTCCTCATTTACACGATCAGTTCCCTTGTATGTGTAGCTCAGGACTTCTCTTTCCTATGTTGTGGTTCATCTGCCTGCAAGCAAATGCCTTGGTACTATCCAAGTGTGTTGCTCTGAGAGGTAATTATGTAAAAATAGGAATCTTCTATCTTCATATCATTTTCAGAGCTGCTTCTTCCCTAAGAAAAAGCTGTTGTTTGTTTTTCTTTGGGGAAGGAAGCAAGGACAAAGAAAGAAGAAAGATGATCTTTCTTGGTGGTCAACTGTACAAATGCATTCTAAGGTGTGGAGGGCCAAAAGAAACTTGGTTGTGTGTAATTTTTAGCAGTAATAAAGATGCTGCAGCCAGACCCTGTTCTCTTAGTAAGGCCGCCATTTGAATTTTGGCTGCTAAGGTCATATAAGCTCTGTTACGCTAACTGAGACTTAGTAGCAACACAAAGTGGAGTAGCCCCCCTGCAGTTTACATAATCTGACAGGAACAAAACACAACAAACATTTATTTATCACTAAGTGCACCACATTCTTCCCCACTTGCTACAAGGAGAGGATTTATGAAAAATGGTCTGTGTTTTTGGTTTCCCTTTACCTGCCAAAGAGCTATTTGGTATACCTTGGGTGTTAGTAAGCTGTGAGAGTTTTAGATTTAAGCTTAATTTGATTAGCCCTTGCAAAGAGTGAACAGAGCATCCCTGTTATTGCTAAAACCAAAACACTTACTGGGGGCTTTACAAGCTCTCAAGTAAAATGCGTGATGTTGAGGAGTCTATGGAAGTTTGGCAGAAAAATTAGTTTCTGTGAAGGGAGAGAGATGTGATGGATAAGATGAAAGACGTAACACCTCCAGACCTCCTAAGTCTCATCAAAAAAGGGATTCAGAGTGTGTCTGAGGTCTTTTTTGGTTTTCTGTGCTGTAGGACATGATAGCACACTCCAGACTGCTGCTGTCGTCTTTCCTGCCTCCTGTTTGGGATAGGTAGGGGGGATACTTGAGGAGTTCCCAAAACCTCTCCCTGCTTACAAGAGAAGGTACAGACAAGTCGAGCCTTCTTGACTGCCAGCTGGCTTCTGTGGCTGAAATTTCCGTTCCAGCTGCCCATCCTCTTTATCCACTTGCAAGGGATCATCGCACCTGCTCCCTTTTTCTAGTGCACCTTCACTTCAGCTTGCCTCTGTCTGACTTACAAATGAACTGGAGGCCTTAAAAACCACAAGAAGTTAGATACAGGGGCATCTTAACAATCAGTTCTGAGGAAGAACAGTTCCATAGAGCTGAAGAGAAGGCAGAAATCCTCAACTAAGTCTTGAGAATTACAGTGCGAGTCGTGTACGACTGTTTTCTTCCCAATTATTGGCCACTAGAGGGTAGCCTAGATCTGCTGAACAGTCATAGCTGTCGTTGAGGCAAGGCAATTCTGCGTGGAGTGAGGTCGTTAAAAAACATGATTTTGAGCCTAGTAATAAAAGAATTGCATTGTTTGAGTAATTCAGAATTGGTGTACAAAAATATTAAACATGCCCCATGAGCAAGCCAATTATATTTCCCATGGAAGGCTCTGAGAAAAGTCTACTAGAGTAAATATATATATGACCTCCTTCTGTTCCTGCTAGTTCTTTTAATACTGTGGATTTCTTCCACAAATGAATTGGTGTAAAATAGGATATACTTACACCTGGGTCTAACTAGATTGGAAAATATTTTTCTATAATAATTGGATAATTGGCCCAGTGGCTGCAAAGTCTGTCAAAGGTGAAGAACAACCTTTCTCAACAGGGAGTAAGTGGTGGAGACAACACAACATTCTACTGAAGTTTTATAGCAGGTATGAGTTTTGAAATGAGGGTGAATCTGACCTTCCTCAGGTAAATATGTTCACTTTTAAAAGAGATTTGTAACTTTACTTCCATTTTGCAAGTGGGGAACCAGAATGTGTGTCGGGTTCAAACTGGAAAGCAAAGTGTCTGGGGAAGGAAGAGAGGATGAAGGTAGTGAAGGAGGTCCGAGGGGATAATTCTGCATTTTTTCAGCTGTAGAGAGAGATGAGAGAATTACAGGGGCAGGGTGACTTTGGTCCTAGTGACTGTCTTCATACCCTGAGAGAAACCCTAAGTAGTTATGCCTACAGCTGTGAGGCCTTTCAGGCCTTGGGCAAAGACTGGTCAAATCCCAGGGATGTGCACTCAGCAGTCTCTTAAGACATTCTCAGGGTGATAACTGGAGGAACAGGAGAAGAAGAGATGAGGCCTTTCTCTTGTTTTTATCCCTTTTCATTCTTTTTTTCTCTTCCTCTGAGTTTGAAACCTAAACTGGAGGAAAATTCCTTGCTAAAAAAAAAAAAAAAGAAAATATAAGTTTGACATAGACTGCTTGAAAGCTGCTACCTCAGGCCACACAGCTTTGAAGAAAAATCAGAATAGTAAGATTAAAACCTCTGAAGTTTCCAGCTTTGTAGTTCTCTCTGGTTGGAGCCAGGCTGGGGAGGGGGTGGGAGTTTGGAGTGGAGAATGAAGTACAGCTGCATGAACGGAAGGATATGTTGAGAGGCATGGTCAGTCCTTGTTTTGCTTTAAGTGGTGCTCTGTATAAATTCAGTGAAACAACTAGATGAGGACAAGTTTAGTAACTGGAGTGCTACCTGAAGTGGAGAGCTCAGTCCCAAAGAGGGTGCGGTCTAAATGCTGCCTGCTGCAGGTGAGCCCAGGGGACAGAACTAACCTGAGCTTAGCTGTAGCCTGATTTCTTAAAGAAGCAACGCTTATTCAGTCAACCTGTCTGTCTATTCTCTGTCTCTTTTCCTCCAGTAGCTTTTAAATTCATCATCCAACTTCGGGTAGATTTAGCAGAGGGGTAAAAGCCTCAAAGGTGATGTTCCTATCTGTCTTCAAGAATGGTCTGTTCATGCCTGACCAGAGAATAGGCTGCAGTAAAAGCCTACCACTTCTGAAACTCCAGAGAAGCTGTATATGAGAAATTTTGCAAAGGCTCTGTTGCCGAAAAGTTTCATCCAATAGTGACAGACAAACTGTGCAGAGTCAGGCTGTGTAAGGTCTGGGGCTTGCAGAATTTACTTATTTGTAAACTTGAATTTTGATTGTCTGTGGTAGAAGGAGCAAGTTTCTGTAAGATATTTTTAGATATTGCCAAAAAAGAAGCAGCAATGAGTGGTGATTTTGAAGACAGTGATAGTGAGGTTGTCTGTGTAGAGGGAATGAGATGGAAGCACTGAAAAAAGTGAAGTCTAATTGGAGCCTGGCCCCGCAAGTGGGGATCTGGAGTTAGCAGTGGTGGAAAAACAGGGCGAGAGAGAATTCCACTGAGTTTGCTCTTTGGCACACTGCACATTGCTGTTGAGAACAGGAAATTTAGTTTGTTCACCAGTTTGACCACACTGTCCTAAGGGATCTAATTTTAGTAGTCATTCCGAAGTGAATTACAGAGACACACAACAAGAGTGGTTGGAAGACTAGAAAAGGAAGAAGCTGGACAGTGCATCTTTGAGTGCCCTATTTGTGGAACAGAGAGGAAATGATGCAATATGGTGTGGAAAACATTATCTGGAAAGAGCCTCCATGAAGGTGGCAAAAAAAAAAAGGTCTCATTTATCTATAAATCAAAGCCAAAAGGGGAAAGGACCAATGATGAACTGAAAGAGTTTCAAGAGAGAGAAAAGTATGGTATGTCTTGCTGTATGAAACATTACTTCCCACATTTCTGCAACCGTACTCGTGGACAGAGCAGGTAGATGTCTTGCATTTGGTTATGTATTATGTACATAGTGCCATTTGCTCCTCGTTGCTGGAACTGTATCCTGAATGTCGAGTTTTAACCCTTTTCTTCTGTTTTAGCTGTCTTTTTGAAGCTGTACCTCTTTGTGTTGGAATTCCCTGTGCTCGGTTTAATTTTGTCATAGGATGGGGAGAACTTTTCATTCTGTTTATTTCCTATATCTGATCACATCCAAAGGTTACAGTCAAGCAAAATGGTACGTGGTCTGCAAGCTGTACTCTCTGGATAGCTGCTGTAACCTTTCTTATCCTTTTACAGCACTGGAACGGCATCGGTTCATGAAGCAGGCTCAGGCACTTGCACCTTGGATGTCACCCAACATGTTCTACAGGGGTGGCGACAGGAACTCGCAGCTTTCCTCTTACCAGCTGAACCCTCTACTGCAACAAGGTGAGACCAGGGGCATCATTTCAAGGGGAAATTGGGATGACAAACAGGTAACTTTGCAGGGAGCTTCAGCGGTGAGGCTTTAGCCTCTCTACTACAAAAGAGAGAAGGATGTTCCTGGCATGACTGCATGTCCCAGCGTGACAGCTCTGCTACATCTGCAGCATACTATAAACTTGCCTGGCTGGATAAATACAGCCTATCCATCTTAAGTGTCTTGCTAGGCTCAGTGCTGGGTGAAGTAGTTTAATGCTAACTGTGGTATATCTGTGGTACTCCCCAGCGACTGCAGGGTAAATATACCCAGCTTATCTCACTTCGTGTGGTAGAGGGGGGTACTGTCTCTTTGTTCTGCTGTGCTGGTCACGGTCAACTCCTTATAGCCCAGATTGACAGGACAAGTGAGGTGCAATTTGTTTGAGTTCTTATCAAATGTCTAGTCTTCAAATGACCAAGGGCAAACTGCTTTCTGTGCAATAGATCCAGCCTGCATGCAGCAAAAAAAAAAAGAAGGACTCTTTAATGAACCAGGAAGAATTTTCCAGTTGTTCTGCCCCAAAATCATTTGTTTTAGTGGCATTTATGTGTAACTTTAATGGAAGAGGGAAGATGGAGTCTCTGAAGGCCTAGAGAAATAAGTAATAAAATAACTTACTACCAGTAATATTATTTATTCACCCAAGGGAAACAGAGAAATTCAACATAATGACTTCTCAAATAAATAGAACCTTTTTTTTTTTCTGAAATTAGCTGTTCATCCCTATATGACAGTCACAGATTTGCTCTGTGTCTGATGAGTCTTAACTGTTGTTTGCACACATCTTAAATGCTAAATTCAAGATCACAGAATGCTTGAATACATACTTTTTTACCCACTAGTTAATTCTACAGTTACCATTTTTCCTAGCCAGGGCACCAGTTTTCCTTAGGGAGATCTAGAGACCGAGCCACCAAGATTTAAGACAGAATACTCTGAATCTTCTCAAGGATGCTGGCAGAAAATGGGCAAGAAACTTCCTCAGACAGTTTCTTAGCCTGTGTTTTCACAGTCCTTGAATCTCCTGTGCTTAAGTTTTCCTTGAATTTCTTTCAGATCAGGTTTTTAGAGATGCTGGGTAGAAGGGACCTCTAAGGTCATCTAGTCCTACCTCTTGATTAACTGTGGCTTTGTGCACCCAAGTTTTGGAAACTTGCGAGGATAAAGATTCCGTGACTTCTTTGGGTAACTGTTCCAGAGCTGGACCAGTCTCCTAGTGAAGAAACTTCTCCATTTGCTACTTATATCTGTAAATATATATGTGTGTGCATATATGTGCGTATATGTAAAAATTTCTTCTTCTTATGCAGTATTGGTTCATATTTCTTCCAGTTCAACGAGATATAAGAGGAAACACTATGAACTTTCTCTGACTTTTTTAGAAAATCAAATTTGATATCAATGCTGTAGGTGTGCTGGATAACTTTGATTTCTTACCTCCATGCTGCGCAAAGCACAGATCATGCTGCAACTTACTAATTACTGCTCTTTGCACCTTACCTTGCGTGTTGTGGATGTGCTGGTTGTAGTGCTTGAGACTTGTACAGCTCTTGCAGTGGGGAGGAGTAGAAGAGGCTGTGAAAAGGGACTCAGGCCAGGATCATTTGAGCAGAAGGGCCCTCTCTTTATTGTTTCCCCTTGACTTGCTGCATTTTCCTGTGCTTTTGTCCTTAGATGTGTCTCAGCAAAACAGTGTTCCGCTGGTGCAGCCACAAGCTCAGCTTTTCCCTAACAAGGGTGTTTTAGACTATCTAGAGTCTGAAATCCAAAACATGAATGTGTCACAACTCCAGCCACCCTCTCACCAGCAGCATGGCATGCAGCCCAGCTTGCTGTCCTCCTTGGGCTCTGCGATCATGCGACCTCCTCTCACTGATCATGTCTCCTCCATCCATGGGAGCAGCAACTCCTCACGACTGCAGAGAGCTGCCCGCGCCCCCAGAACCTGGGATCCTGCAGCAGAGGACAGGAGGGAAAACCGGAGGTGGCCCTTGCCTTCCAGTGGAGATTCTCATTCCAGCTACAGTCAGGAGCCCTGGGACAGGCAGCGAGAGGACCATTCTCAGAGGCAGAGAGCAGGCGGCAACAATGGCAGGGCCCAGCACTCCAGACGGGATGTGTCACCTCCACGCCAGGCTGGGAGGGGCAAAAGCAGCAGCAGCAGCTCCAGTTTCTATCCAGAGGATACCAAGGAGCGCTCCAGCCACCATCGTGGCTGGAGACAGGAGCCCGCAGAGAGGCGAGACTACCAGCACCACACCAGGAGGAGCAATAACTCAGGTCAGCGGAGGCACAGCTACTCTCCCCCTTCTCGCCGGGGGTCGTGGAGCTCCTCAGAAGAGCAAGATCGTCTCCCAGCGACAAACCGCAGGCGGCGGCACCAGTCTCGGGAATGGCCAGAAGATAAGCCCCCCAGTTACCGTTCATTAGAAGTCATCCCAGGCCAGGAGAAGAAGCATAAAGGCAGCGCAGGGCCACGCTCGGTGAGTCAGCTGCTTTTTTGCTCTCCCATCTAAGGGAAGAGGTGGGATTTGGGGACTAAGAGTGAATATTTGTTACTTTCTGCAGCTTGTTGTCTTTCAAACAGAGGACAAAGATTGCATTGGGTGCTCTGCACAGCTTGGTTATGAAGAGGATTCTGAGTTCTCTGCCTTCAGACATGTGTCGAGTTGCTATAGTGTATTCGTGGGCAAAGTGAGCAGTAGAACAAAGTTGTTCCCCTATCATGTGGGTGACAAGTTATAGCCTCTCACTCCTGTCCCCACCTAGAGGCATTTGGGGCTCTATGTATGTACTGCTGTTAGAAGAGTGTTCTCCTGGCACTGCAGGACAAAGCACTTCCAGAGTAGGCAGCAGTACTGAGTATCCCTCTGCAACCCTCTCTGGTGTTGGTTTACTTCTGATTTCATTTAGCTTGTGCATGATTCTCTTGTTATTGATCTTCAGTGTTTAATTTTTATAGTAGCTTGGTGATATTTTTAAGATGGTTCATGTGAGAAAGCATCCAGGTAATATGCTTAAAGCTACATGAAATAGGCTTTAAGACCATGGGTGGCTCTAGTGGTGAGAAATGTGTGATCCTCTAGGCCAGGTGGAAGAGGATGGCTTGCTTGTTGGGACTCCTGAGAACGGAACGTGCATTACACAGGCAGTGAGCAATTATTCAAGGCCAGGTGGAAGAGGATGGCTTGCTTGTTCGGACGTGCATTACACAGGCAGTGAGCAACTATTATTCACAGCTCATCTTGTCAGTTTACACAGGGACTAGATTTCAGGTAGCAACCTAAGCATGAGAATCTTCATATCCAATTGCTAGTCTCCAAGTTAGTGTATATTCCCCCTTAAAATAAAATAAAAATGTTAAGCAACCCTTATCACATATATGCAGAATTTTGCCATGTGGGAGTCTTCTCAAAGGGATGTATTTCGCATGTTATCGTTTTCCTTTCCAAGTTTTGGAAAGAAGTACAGTTCTAATCTGAGCTGGGATGTGTGTGTGTAGGAATGGCTTTGTTATGGTGCTCAGAGGGAGTAGGAAGACATATAATTTCCATTCATACTTCCTTACTCCTAAATCTTTTGTTTTCTTTTGCAGGACAGAGGAAGTTCCCACAGTGGAAGAAGCATAGTCATTTAATGCCAGTACTGAAAGAACTAAGATTCCCACTGGACTCCTCTTAGCTTTTCTACTATGTAGGTTGGAATGGCTGCTTTTGATTGAACAGACAACCAGAAAAAAAAAAAACAACAAAAAAAACCCCGAAAAACTCAAACAGTTTCCCCTTACACCTAAAAGTCTGAGAATGTATGTCTAGTGCCCATGAAAGCAATACGTAACCCATTTTTATTCTTGCTGTGATTTAGAAACTTATGTTTTCAATGGGTTGTGGTCCATTGAAAATGTTGTACTATAAACAGCAGAGGTTTTCAGTAAATAGTAAAATGGTATATTCCCAGTCTTCAAAGAAAGATACCAGTTGTCTTGGTTAGGTGCCCTGGCACTGCGAGGAGCCCAGTCCATAGAATGCTGGTGTGCAAACACACGAAGTTACTGAAAGAGAGTTCCAATGATCAGAGTTATGAAGTCACAGGACATAGAATGATTTAGGTTTGAAGAGGCCTCTGGAGGTTATCTGATCTGATCCCCTGGGAGTTTGGTGTGGGGGGCCACAGTATGTCCTTTCTAAGGCCCTCTGTTGTGCTTCAGACGGTGCAATGTTTGTTGCTTCTGCCTGGCTGCAGTTCCTTTCTTTTGTCCCCACTAATCTTCGCAAACAGAAGGATCACAATGTTGGAAGAATGTCTAACTGCCTTAATAAGGGCTCACTAGCACATCTGCAGATTGCCAGTTTATCTGCCCTATATTGATGGAAACAACCTGCCCTACTTTAAGCTTAGACCTTAGTGCCTTAAAAGACACTTGTTCTAGCCTTCAACACAGACTTGAATTCTTTTTTAAACTTAAAGGGCTAGATCTACCAAGGTTTGGCCATCGCTGCAGGAACTAAGCAAGGTATGACTACAGTCCCTCACACCATGGACCAGAATTTCCTTCAACCCTAGGAAGCATGGCTTTGGTGGATATATCTTTCCTAAGCCATGTACTTTTTTCAATGCACTTTATATTCTCCCTTTGCTCTGTGTCCTGTATCATATATGTAGAGTGCGATAAAGGGCTCTGAAGACGTATTAAGTCACCATTTTTACTATTGTCCTTATCTTTACGCTGACACGCCAACTCTGCATGTGTGGTGCATCTGATCAGTCGTTGGATTGCTGGGTTTTCTCATCTCTCACCTTGCAACTAGAACACAGAATTTCTCTGTGCTCTGAGACCAATTGTGAAGGAGAGGAGCTTGCCATTTCTCCTTGATGTGATTCATCCGTTTTCATTTACAAAGTTCTGAAAAAAAGACATTCTCTGGATGATAGCTGCCTCCACAGGAAACTGGCTTGCCAAGTGCACGTCTTGGATTCAAGCGATACAGCTGTTGGCAAGGAGCTTTTGGAGCATCTGGTGAATTATTTTGTAACCCAGAGGCAGTAGAGATTGGCCAGTATCAATGCTTGTATTGCCTAGCTTATTTCCCAGCCAGTGCCACATGGGGCACTTGCTACTATTTGTTCGTTAATGTCCTAATTACTGATGTGTTTGTGCATTTCCTTAGAAGACTGACTTGGAGAGACTTTCACTTCACCCACCTCTTTTTTTTCTTTTCTTTGGACAACAATCACACTTGGAGAAAATGCTCCTAGCAGGGTATCCGATGCAGTTGCCAGTCGACGAAAGGCTACTACAGAGAGTGCTTGTTTTCCTACAGTTTCTTGGGTGACAGTGCTTATTTCAAATTCCTGTGTATGCAGTTAAAGCAGGAGGACCCACTAGCTTTTCTGGTTGACTTGTTTCAGAACCAGAGGCCTATTTTTTGAAACAAAGGGGCTGATTGCCAACAATTGATGGCTAGCACAAAAGAGCTAAAAGACTAACTCCAAAGTTTCAATTCAAGAAAGGGAGGCGTATCAAGTGTAGTCCTTGTCTGCATTAGACCCAAACTGTAAATAGTGTGAACTGACACGTAAGTTACATGTGAAATACAGGGAATTACATATATTCACAGAACTTGCAAGGTCAGTATCACTCTTGAACTTGGTTCTCAGCCACTGGCTGTGAATCATTTTTTATTCATATTTAATGACATGCTGAGGATTTTATACACCCTCTCTTCTATGATGTGTTAGTGTTTTTACTAATTAGGAGGAGTTTGTGGTGACTGCAATGAAAGAAAATATGGGGCTCCTTCCTCCACAACTACCGTCCTGTTTTGACTTTAGCATTGCCTTCTGACAACAAGCAGACACCCAGGGCCCTGCACTTCCTAGCCCTGGAAGCTGAATTGGTGCCTTGGAATCTGTCTCCTTATGCTTCCAATAGGCGCATACATCAGGCAGGACAACTTCTTCCTGTCATCTCAACCCAGACCAAATGTCCAGGTTCCAGGGAAGGGCTGCCCTTTTCTCCCATCAAGAGTAAAGGCTATTGAGACATTGGATGAGATCCCAAGGTGGTAGCATGGGAAAGAGGTCACTTTCCTTCCCATTCAAGTGTGTATAAGCCAACATAGGTTCGACAAGTTTTCCCAAGAGCAAGAATTCCCTCACACAGCAACAAAAGCCAGACAACTCTGTGTAACAGTAGCAGGTGTTGAAGCTTTCTGCTGTAGTATAAGCACACTTACTGCTTTTTCATTGGAATCCTGTGAAGGAACCCTTGATCTTTGTTTGCTTCTCTAGTCCCCATACTCGAGCTAGGGTAACTAATTGTAGATTGTGTGAACTCAATTTGGCAGGGAGGTTGGACTACATGGTCTCTAAGGTCGCTTCCACCTAAGCCACTCTATGAATTTGTGCTGTGTGAAGTTTGAAGAGTTTTATCTTTACCATACTTGAGCTCCTCTTCAGTCACTTTGTTCTTATTTGTAGAAACATTAAACAAAACTCTTGAGGGAACACTGATTGGATCTCAGTCTTAATTCTGTAACTTCTTAAATTGCGACAGAAGTAAATTAGGTTATCCAGCAAGGAAGCAGAAATGGTACCAGGTTTACTGGTCCACAGACCACTGTGGTTCATAAAACACTAGTTGGTGGGCTCTGAATTAATGACAAAAGAAATCTATATATGTATGTTTTACAACTTCAAGCAGACAGAAAAGTGGGAAGGAGATAGGCTGTGCTTTGAATGCTTATAGCCAATTAAAAATAGAAATAAATGAAAGTAATTGTTACAGCACTGCACAATACTATGTGGACTCTTTTTCCAGTAAGATTACAGAGTCTTGGATTTTTTAAAAGAGAGAGAGAATTGAGCAGCTCAAATACTGCACACCGAAAGAAATACCAGTAGGAAAGAGCCTAGCCGTGTCCTTTCTACATTTCAATTTATTCATGCTTAATTTTTCTGCCATTCCAAAGAGATAGTGTTCATGTCAGCCAATTTGTGATGAAAAAAAGTTCCACATATGGGAGTTATTACCATTCTAGACTTTTGTTCTTCGTGTCATGCAGTTGAAGGAATATACCTTACCCCAGGAATGAATTTTCTGTTTCAGATAAAGTGCCTTGATAGCCACTGGAGTTACCCTAATTTAAAATAATAATGTAATGAGTAAGTGACCGTACCATGTGGGGCAGATAAGGATGCCTGTGCTGCTCTTGTCAGCTGCTTTCTACCTCAGACCAGAGATTCATAAGAGAGATTAAAAAATCATGTAATTTTTCTTTGATTTAGAAAGGACTTGCAATATCTGAGTTTCTTGGTTATTTGCAGAGCGCCCTGCCATTCCAGAATGCCGTTCCAGGAGTCGGGGGTAAGGCCTGCTTTTTGTGCAATCATTGATCTGGTCTTGGCAAGTGCCTGTCTGGCAGTAGAAAATGCTGAAATGCCCTGTTGCTATCTCTGGGATTGTATTCATGATAGCTAGCTAAACTTAGGCTAACTTCGAAGGGGGTGAAGTTACCCTGTGTGATGACAATCGCAATGTAAAGCTCTTCAGCTTTACACAAGGTAGCTAAGGCCCCTCTGTGTTACTACCTCCAGCAGCACATCAGTTTAAAACACCCATTTAATACGGTCAGAGCCTTCCATTTGTCAGCCTGACCCAGGAGAGAGAAGACAACTGAGGTTGTATTAAATTAAGCCCCACAAGCAGTGACTGCTCGTTGCTATTTCTGCTAAGTTAAATGCCTATAATGTGCCTTGTACTGGTCTTCTGAATATTATTCCTGCTGTAAAAGCAGATGGGAAATGTGTAGATTCTCTTCAATGACTGTCAAATGTATGATTAAAATATAATAGAACTTTCAGCCAGCTGCTCTTGCGTGTTCTTCCTAGACCATAAATCGCTTTTGAGTGTTTGGACCAGAAGTGGAACTGAAAATTCTCTGTTCTAACTTCTTGCATTAACCTTGTTATACATTAGTAAGAATTTTTCTGTTGTTTTTTTTGACAAAAATGCAAAATCATTTGCTTTTATGGTTCTTTTTTTTTGGTTGTTTTTCTTACTTTGGGATACTTCTTTCTTCATTTTTCTAGGAAAAAAAGAAAATATAATTTGACTATATGCTCATAAAGAGTGGAAAAATATCTAGGAAACCACTGGCAGCCCCCTTTAATGATGTGACCGCGGCAATCACTGACTTGGTTGTCTGTAAAACCAGAATGCTTACTGTTGCTTCAAAAAGTACTTTGAGCTCCATGAGAAAAAAGTCTTCTAGAAATTTTGTTTGATTGATAAATGAAGATACTGGTTAAGCTTTTCACACTTTCCTCATGTGACAGCCACCTAATAAATAAGTGGCTGACATAAGAACAGAGGTCTGCTGGGTCTCACAACGTACACTTAATTTACATCACATGTCCTTCCCATTCCCTGTAGCTGAGGCCCTTTGTAGCTCAGTGTTGCAGCCTTTCTGTCTCTTCCCCTACTGCTCAGTGGTTGCACGTACCAAATACACACATTTGGCCTGACTGAAAACCCAGCGGGCACTTGGAACGTGAGCTACGGGAAAACGTGTGCTACAGCAGCAACATGGCCACTTTCTGACTGGCACCAGATCCCCATGGAGTCTGGGGATCATAGAACAGTTTGGGTTGGAAGCAACCTTTTAAACATTTCATCTACTCTGCCCGTGCTGTGGGGCAGGGACAGCCTTCACTAGACCAGGATGCTCAAAGCCCAATTCAACCCGACCTTGAACACTTTCAGTGATAGGGCATCCACAACTTCTGTGGGCAACCTATTCCAGCGTCTCACAACCCTCATAGTAAAGAATTCTTCCTTATAGCCACTCTAAATCTATCCTCCTTCAGTTTTAAACTGTTTCCCCTTGTTCTGTCACTACAGGCCCTGGTAAATGTCTTTGTCTTTCTTACAAGCCCTCTTTAAGTACTGAAAGGCTGCAGTAAGGTCTCCCCGGAGCCTTCCCCTCTCCAGGCTGAAAATAATCAATTATTTCAGCCTTTCCTCACAGGTGTTCCAGCCCTCTGATCACTTTTCATGACCCTCTGGACCCTCTTTAACAGGTCCGTATCTTGGGCTGGGGGACCTGGAGCTGAATGTTTCCCCTGAGTACGTTCTGACAGCTGTCTCAGATGTATGCCCATCTTGTCAGCCTATGCAAAAAGACTTGAGAACGAGGAAAGAAGAAACGTCAGAGGGCTGCACACTCACACCTGTGCACCATTGGGTTAATCCATTTGTTGGAAGTGGAAGGTAAAATACCAATGGGTGTAATAGCCACGATGAAGTTTGAACGGCTGGAGCAGTGAGGTTACGGCACAGGCCTTCCCACGAGAACAGTGGGAGCAAAATTTAGCCCAGCTCTAGCTACTGTTAATGTGGAATTTGGTCAACTTACGAAAGGAGCCTCTATGACACGATTGCCTGCAAAAGTAGGGGGCTCAGTGACCCATGAGCTGCCTTCCATGTCTCTTAGGCTCAGGTCACACTGACCCTCCATTACCAAATCTCAACAACAGGTCAGAGTCCTCCACATCTTGCCTGCCCCACGAAGCCGGATGTGCTTGCAAAAGAGCAAATGGGGAAACAAAGCAGGACCTTTGATCCCTTGCTGTCGCTATATTAGCTCTGCATAAATGCCGATGTTTCAGATGAGCATCTACCTCAGCTTCGACCTGAGGAAGAGAGAAAGCAGGACAGGTAAGAGCTGAACTCTCTCTTCTGGGTTTTATGGACTCTGTGAGTGGTATATCTAGGACTCATAGGGAAGTGAGCGTAGGTGGTCTTCTATTTTGCCCCATTTCTCATCACAAGCCAAAGTGTGAGACATTCTCACGCTCCACAGCCAGGAATATTGCTGAAAGAGAGGAGGATGGGAGCACCTGAGGTGACCTGGATTGAAGCTGAGTGATGGATGCTCCATAAGACACTCATAGGAGGGTCAAGCCCATGGTAGGGATTGCAAAGTTTCAGTGTTGGAAGATCCATAACCTTTTCCTAGCTGCCTTCACCACAGGGACAGTAAAGCAAGTAAGACCAGCTCTTTATGATCTTGGCAAGCACATTTAAGCCTTTTGTTTACAGAGGGAGAAACTGGCTCTAGGACTAAAAATCAAGGAAGGGTGGTAATGGAGCAACTGCTGCTGGTCAGCGAACGTCTAGTGAATGGAATGGTAGCTTTTGGAGGTAACCTGTGCACAGTAGGAAACAAAAATGCATGTGGATCTCCTTGCTCTGGGATAGGAAAGAATGTTGTTAACTTGTAGCTACCTGGCACAAGATTTAACAAAGCACTCGCATGTGACTCGCAGCCTTGTTGACATTGCAATTCCTGACATTGCAACATTTTCTTCATGTTGCTCTGAGTGATGCAGCCCTTTAACACATAAAAATACCTTTCTAGGGCAGCATGTTTGAAAAGCTTTCGAATGTAATGTTATCTTTTCAGTGTACCAAATATTGAGGAGTTCCTCCAGTTCTGACTTTTTTAATAGGAAAAAAACAGTGAGTTTGGATGCAGCTAAAGTTTGCACTTACTCCCTTTCAAGAATATGTTCTGCCTGGGCTACTATCTGTGTCATTAATCCCAGTGTGGACAAGACAAGAGAATCCAGGTGGGTTTTTCCTCAACTAGAGCAAGACAAAATACTCAGATCACCAGGTCACCAAGATGATCGTTGTATGTGATGCACTCACAAGCACGATGTTCTTAAAAGAAATTTAGCAAGAGAAAAAAAAACTAACAAAGAAATCCCACACTATGAATTTTTCAATTGTACTTATGTGTGGAAGAAACCTATTCTGACCTCTGCCAGTTTTAGTGGTTTACTCATGTGCTGAAACAAGGAATTTTAGCCTTCATATAAGAGAAGTAGCTTTAACTGTCATGTATTTCTTGGAGCTCTGAAAGCTATCATTTGTCGTGGATATTTGTGATTGTGCAAATAAAAGGACATTTTCAGATTTATACTGTCTTTTCCTCATTTCTTCAGAGGAAATGCACCATGGTCTTTCCTATTCTGTCTAGTTATTGGTTAGGTTTGTTGCAGGAATCTAGTGTTTAGCTGACATGTTCTATTTCTCTGAAAACATTCTATGGTGACTCCAGCAGGTCTCTTGGTGTAGAGAGCAGGACCAGTACTGTAAACCATGCTGCAATCCAGGGCGTTGGTGATAGCTCTGATTCTGCTCCTTGGCACTACTCTCCCTGGTAAGTCTGAAAAGTTTTTCTGTCTGCCTGAGCCAAGGCTCAGCTCTGCGGATTCTCACTTACCTTAGAGAAGTCTAAACGATCCACGAAGTAGGACTGAAGCCCAACAACACAGCTCAAGACAATGAATATGTAGCGCTTGGCAGCATTAAACAAGTTGGTAGGGCCTGGCATAAAAACTGTCCGTACCTGGTGCAAATACTCTGACATGTAAGACCCATGATCTAGATGCCAGAAAAAATGAGTGACGAGGCACAGCTGGATGCTGCTGGAGTGAATTCTGGGGGAGGCTTTGCATCTCAGAATTTTAAATCTCTTCCAACTGCACCTGGGGAAAATATGAGAGACACTAGTGACTGGAGAAGCCTTATGGGTTTTTTTCCTCCTCTTTCTCAGAAGTGCAGTCAAGGTCCGTCTTTGAGAGAGACCGTCGTGACTGGTTGGTTATCCCCGATAAAGTTGCATCTTACATCTATGAAACTGTGAACAAGGTATCCCCTAAAGTTGGTCAGTTCTTGGCAGACGCTGCCCAGACTCCAGCAATTGTTGCAAGCAGGTATGGAAAGATCCTCTCCGCTAACACTACAATAGCAATGGGTGAAAAGGGAGAGGGAAGAGTGAGAGGAAAAACAGATTAATCAAGTATCTATATGGGGAGAGCCAATGGGAAATTAATCAGCAACCAAAGCCTGATGTGACTACAATGGGAGATGATACGGTTTCATGTGAAAGTGCAAGCTCTTCCCAGGGATGCACACTGAGCATGATGATGCTCATGGGGATAGCAGGTGCTGCTCTTTACACGTGGCTAGTGAGGGAGGGGGTCACTGGGGGATCAGCCCCCCTGGAAGGGTTCTGCACTGCTCTCTGTCAGGGGCTGAGTACTTAAGATGCCAGGAAACACTGCTGTCACTAACTGCAAATCACAGAGTTGGCTTTAGCTGCAAATACATATTCCTCAAAGAAGGGGAATGAGTTTCCTGCCAAAAGGAAAAGCATGATGACATCAGAGATGTGGTTTCATGTAACTCATAGCAAACACATATGGCCTATTCCTGTCTTCTAAGAAAAGCCCCTCTAGGACTGCTGCAGAGCTTTGCACTCAGTGTGAGGCAGTGTGATACCTACAACAGATGGAGATTACCCTCACATATTTGCCTACCTTACCACATACACTATTGTCTCCTGCAGGAACTTCCTCATCAGGGAAACAACTAAACTCAGTATACTGGCTGAACAGCTGATAGAAAAAATTAAGAGCCTGTGGTACACAAAAGTCCTAGGCTACTAGCCAGATGAAGACAAGTCAGTGTTTCCTGATGTGAGTTAGTAACAGCCTGCAGTGTCCTCTTTTCCCCTACCACGGACCAAGATCAGTCAATGAGACAGAATCGATGCTCCTCTTAAAGCCACCAGAGGGAACCCAGCTTCAGAGACCAAAGGATGGAAGGCATCTGCTGAAGTCTCCCCTGAAAAAAACCTGGTGACTGGGCATGGGGAAGGCAACAAGAATGTAGAGCTCTTCTGTAGCCAAATCCTGAAAATTAATTCCTCCTGAATGGCTTGTCCATTGACCCTCTAATAAAAAGAAAATGTTGGTTGTTAAGACTTACCTAAAGTTTCCTGTTTATATTGACTGCTACAAAATCATATCCACCTAACATGCAGGGCTAAACTATAGCAGTTGTTCTATCACCACATGACCCCTCCCCAGCCAAGAAGGGAGATTGGGAAAATGCGAAGAGACCTGTGGGTTGAAATAAGAACAGATTTAATGAAACAGTAAAAATAGTATTAATGCTAATGCCCATATATATAGCGTACAAAGATATATTCAGGCTAGTGAGTGTTAAGCAGTCCCAGCGAGCAGAATGATAAGTGACCCCTTCCAGGGACAGTAGCCCTTGAGAGGAAGAGGAGGAGCAAACTTTAAAATGAGCATGACAACTATCATATGAGATATATGTGTAAGCTAGCTCAGGTCAGCTGCCCCAGCTTTTGCTCCTCCCACCTTAAGTTCCTGGCTGAATCAAAACTGTGAACGGCCTGCACACCATGGCTGGCCTGTGATTCTATCACAGTGAAACCAGGACACCTTGGCATCCCATTCTGCTGAGAATGAGAAGTTGTTGTGGGCAATGCTAACAAACCCTGACCGTTCAGGCACTTTGAACTAAGCTCAGGTTCTTTTTAGGTGGAGGGGGCACTACTTGAACATCTTTCGGGGTAGCCACATCATGGCAACCATAACATCACATCAGGAAAGACCACGAAATTGAAGTTGCGTTGATTGTGCTCCTTGGTTAGATAAGAAGCAAGTAGGTGCACCTGTTTCAAGTGCCTGAAGATTTCAGATCATTTGAGAAAACAAGTGCCAGTAAAACTCAATTCTCCCTCAATCTGAGCAGGACTTCTAAAGCATGTTTCATCATCCCACCCATGAGGCTACTGATGAATAGCCTTTCCAAAGGAGAAACAAGGGGAAACTTCTCACTGTTTTCAAGATGGAGGGTGACCAGTTTATGAGAGGGGCACTTATGCTCAGGATTGACTATAATGACCTGGCAGATCCTTGTCAGCCCTGTGTAACTGGGAGAAGCAATAGAGACTGAAGGAAGTAAAGGAAGCAACAGCAATTGTTTTGACAGCTGAATGTATCTTCTCAAGGCTAACCCTTTTCCTCTTCTTGGTTTGCCTAAGCAAATTAACTCAAATAACTGACAAACGGCTAATTAACAGATGAAGGCTGTATATCATCTGGTATCTGTGCCAGCTGCACTAGTATTGGTGAGAGAACTGCCCTGACACCACGTACACAGTTCCAGACCTTTATTTTAACCTGCCCTCCACATTTTACAATAGTATTTGACCGTGTCAGGAAAGCAGGCTTTGCCATAGGTGAGCTTCAATACTCCAACTGCTTGGGCAGCATTGAGGGTGAGGGAAGAATGCCCTAAGCTAACAGTAACACTCTTTGTCCAACCTGGAGTGCTGGATACCAAAAAAGTGCAGGTCCAAGTTCTTTCTCAATGATCAGAAAGACTTGCTGTCAGCAGTACTTGATTCTCCAAAGCTTCCTATTGCTCCAGTCTGAATTTCAAGTTCATCTCCCAAGATCTTTACTACTGAGAAAGGTTTGCTTCAGCACAAACCTGAACATGTGGTAGCTGTTGTCCTGTTGGAGCAATCTGGTAGGCCATCCATAAGACAGGAGAAATGAGACCCCTCATCTGTTTTGCGGTTGGTTATTTTGTTGTTTTGGTTTGGTTTGTAATTATCAGCCACATCAGCTGTCAATATAAACTTACACTTAACCATTTGTCTGGAATAAAAAGTTTGATTTTGCATTTTCTATGTCTCAGCAACTGCTTGGTACCATGTGTAATCAGAATTAAATCAGTGTCCCCATGCACAGCAGCAAGTTCTTCCATCTCTGGTTGCTTCATCACTTCTGCAGAGCTCTTTTGCTGATTTCTTTATTGCTATTTGTTTTGCTTAGACTGCCTTCACTCCCTGGTCATGGATGAACGTGCACAAGTGTATCTAGTATGCACCGACACTTAGAAAAAGGTTTAGAAAAGCGCAGTTTGGGCTATGAAAGTGTTTACCACATGAAAAAGCTAGAAACTTGAGCTCTTTCTGCTACAGAGGTGATTTCCTAGCTACTCGTTTTGCACGTGTCTGCTAATTCTTTCTCTCATTTTTCCCAAATAGAACCCTTGTAGGAGAAGCCATGCAGCTTAAATCCCCTCTTACCCCAGGGAAGAATTCAGCACTCTGAATTTTCTTGGGATAGAACTTGTTCTTTTAGCACTTCAAAAATACTTCTTTCTGAAATACTGGAAGTTATGAGTCACATGAAAGAGCCTGAATGTGCCCTTACAAGTTTGGTGTCATGGAAATCATTGCTTCAGCCTTTTCTATCTACTTGTATGCACTGCCAAAGAGGGTAGGAAAAAGTTTGGAAAGTACAGGGGTCTCGTGTTTCAAGTCTATTGTGTGACTTCATCAATGCAACACAGTAGCATTTCTGTATTACATCACTGCACAGCTGGAGCAGAGCAGTACCTGATACGAATTTCATGCTAAAACTTTAGAAAGTTATGATATTTTGTTAAATGCATTTTAATTATACCCATTCTGTTCTCCAGAAAATCCAAGCTAGCCATAAGCTGATTAGCTGTTTGATATCTGACTGATTTCAGTATACAAGCAAAACTGAATCAGCCTATAGATGTCTTTGTTTATACTGAATCTTCTGATCATGTAGTTATCTATGCATTTAGAAAAAGTAAACAGAAAACCTTCCAGATAGTTAATCTGCTGTACAATCTACAGTATAGAGCAACCTAGGAAGAGCAAAGCAGACAACCTCCTACTGCCACTTCTGACCCTGACATTGCTGGCATCACCCATTGGTGAATTCCTTAAAGGCAGAAACTAGCAATGAGGCAGCATTCAGGCTGGGATCAGGTAGGGAAAAAAAAACACAACCCAAAACCTTTTATCCAAAAAGGGACCCTGGGGCAAATTCATGGGGCAAGTAAAAAGGGGGCCATGTGTTTGAGTCTCGGAGTTAAAATATTTCACATCTACTCACACTTTTCAGTAGGAACAAACAGCTTAATCTGTAATTTCTTTGTAAAACAGGGATGGAAATTACTTCCCAAGTGATGTCTGTTTAAGTTCACCTATGCTTCAAGATTCTTAGAGAGGCTCTGTAGGTGGAGTGTGCATTTCAGTGAGATTCATATCACAGAAACTTTCTTTTTGAGTAACCATCATTCACTTTGCAGCTTTGGGAAAGCTTGTGGTGTAACTGGTTCAACTGAGTCCACTGAAGTGAAATCTTAAGAAATGTCAGTTTTCTGTTGTTTCTGAGATGGATAAGTAACACCTGATTTCCACAAAAAAGTGGAAAAAGTTTCTTTGAAAAGTGTTGGTGGTGAATACACCATTTTCAGTGGCTTGGAGTATCGGCACAGAACTGTTCAGCTTTTACACTTCTTAGTTCCCCTCACCTCTTACTTTAACACTTGGAAAAAATCACAAATTAATCATCACAAATGCCTCAGGCTCTGCGCTGTTGTAAGCAGCGGCAGCCATCCCTGCCAACAAACAGCCCAAGTTTTTCAGTTGAGGAAAGCCCCAATGCAAGGTTTTTTCTCTTTCCAAGGAGAGACAAGGACCTGAAGCAGTTCGAGGGAGGTGATTCTCCCCCTCTACTCCACTCTCGTGAGACCCCACCTGGAGTCGTGCATCCAGTTCTGAAGGCCACAGCACAAGAAGGATATGGACGTGCTGGAGTGTGTCCAGAGAAGGGCCACGAGGATGATCAGAGGGCTGGAGCACCTCTCCTGTGAACACAGACTGAGAGAGTTGGGGCTGTTGAGTCTGCAGAAAAGAAGGCTCCGAGGAGACCTTATTGTGGCCTTCCAGTATCTCAAGGGGGCCCACAGGAAAGCTGGTGAGGGGCTTGTTAGGATGTCAAATAGCGATAGGACTAAAGGGAATGGATTAAAGCTGGAGATGGATGGGTTCAGATTGGACGTTAGGAAAAAGTTCTTCACCATGAGGGTGGTGAGACACTGGCACAGGTTGCCCAGAGAGGGGGTGGAAGCCCCATCCCTGGAAGTTTTTAAGGCCAGGCTGGATGGGGCTCTGGGCAGCCTCATCTAGTGGGGGATGTCCCTGCCCATGGCAAGGGGGGGTTGGAACTAGGTGAGCTTTAAGGTGCCTTCCAACCCTGACAATTCTATGATTCTATGAAAACGTCAAGTAAAATATTTAAAATTTGTAGCTGGCAGAGAGCCATATGGTTATTTCCCCTGTGCACACGTTTCCAGCTAAAGGTTATTGTATTTTTCATCCCTA